GAAGGATTGGTTTGAAGCACGCATGTCTGGAATACTGCCGACATTGACAGTGAACATTGCCGTCCCAGTGAACCAAACTCGAACGTAGCTACACACTTGACTCGGGAAATTCTAACAGCATACAGTACAACGTTTGCTGACCCTCTACAAAATCATCGAGTTTCGTTTGGAGTTTGCAAATCCAAACGTGTATTGTGGGGCGTTGTCATGAGTAAATATTTTGTCCTGTCAAATCACAATTATCTTACTCCGTTGTAGTTGTATAGGATAGGATGTTTGCATACACGTTTAAACTTTCGATAAAAGTTCTGACTTAATACTTGATATGATAATACTCGGAATTCCTATAGCTAGCATGGATGCTGGCATTCATGAAAACAGATTTATACATCCCTGACAAGAGTTATAAAGGATTTCCAACTACGGCTAAGGTGAAATTACTCATTACTATGACACTGTTACCTTCATAAGACCGTGGATGGATATGTTCCACGAGCTTGTGTCAACAAGGAAGTGTACATTGAAAGTGTTTGCAAAGCTTACTGCGGTATCCGCCGCGACACAATTGGCGTGGAATTGGGACTCTGGAACTTACTTGCAAGTCTTTTTGTCAGTAATAAAGGCCGGGTTGAACGTATTGGAAGGGAAGGGTTTAGAACTGGTAACTATTAGTCGTCGTGTTTGGTTATATATCACTATGTCTTAAAAGACTGGTTCATAAAAGTACCTGATGAATGTTTTGCAAATATACTGAAACGCTAGTTGACAACCACTTGACGTTCTCGATATAGGTCTTGTAAAAAGGGTATGGTAATCTCTGCCAGTGTTAAGAAGACGGAACGAAATTAAAAATTTCTCGTAACACCACAACGCGACACCGACGAAGCATTCGATATGGAATTCCTTCTAATTATAGTCAGTGTGTTCATATATGGCCAGCCAACGCAACAAGTGCCATTGGAACTCGCTAAAAGAGTTGATCTCGGTTGTATTGTCAGTTGTGAATCGGCCCTCGGACAGACCGTTACGTTACTGAAGCTTAACGGCGTGGCTCGTATGACTCATCGACAATGGACGGAAGAACGGCGAAAACGTTTTGGACTGATGTGAATGAACAAATAGAACGAAATTTAATTGTTGGTGGTTCGATATTTTAATTATGAATATTTAACTTTTCTTACATGCTCAAACACACTCTTTAATAAGCAACTTTTAGTTTGTCCATCGATATTGTGCCGTTTTATTCAAAATTTCGAGTCACTAGATTATAAGACAATTGACGAGGTTAATATTGTAAATTGACTTATTTAATAATAATATATACCGTAAACTCTCATGAATAAGCACCTACCATGAATAAGCACCTATCATATGAAAAAACGTCTATCATGAATAAGCACCGGTAATGTTATAAAAAACTAACCCCCTACCCCCCTTGATTACCAATTTAATTAACGTCATATGTGATATCCGCCGCAGTTTGCAATTATTATTATGTAACAAACAAAAGAACGCGGACAATTGTTACGTGATGTTTTTGTAGATGATTTTGCATTGTTCTAAGTCGCAACCAAACGTCTCATGAATAAGCACCGCTTCATATGATGAGGGTAGGTGCTGCTTATTCATGAGAGTTTACGGTAACACTAATTCCTGTCATCATACCTGCAGCTGAATAATCATAATCATGGCTGTTTCTCGGTTTATGCAACTCCAGTAGGCAAGAGTTTACTGGAATATTTACGCTCCTTCTCGAGACGCGATAAATGTTTTACACCATTATGATATATAGTGTTCCGTATGTGGCTATTAAAATTTTGAAAAAGGTTTTCAATATCATCCCGTAGTCTCCGTGCATAGTCGGGATCACCATCACAACATTGTTCATCAAGTTTCTTCTATTCGTCTGTTACTGAATCAGGCATTGATGGTCGTAACCCGCCCATAATACAGAGTCAGATTCAATATTACGTTAATTGATACTACAAATTATTAATTATTGCTTACCTCGGAAACAAATAATTCCAGCATCTGATCAAAATTCCTAAATTGTTTAAGGACAACAATTTATGTATGTACCGTCCACCCTTATTACCGTAGACCGCTGACTAAAGTATCACTGCAGCAATTCAGGTCGAAAACATGTAAAAGACCCGGTACTATGCAAATCAAATATCGCGTTGTTACGTATAAGAAAAATATTAATACAGTAATATACAAATGGAATATTTTAAGCCAATCAGCGTGTTTTCTCTGATGTTCTATCGAATTCCGGAAATTTCTAAATGTATTTTTGCTATTATAAAAGGAATAATCTTCATTATCAAATTTGGAAATCTCCCTAACTGTTGGTTAGTAAGAAATGTGGCAAACATATGGCGGTGACATTACATATCTTGACACAAATCCGAAAGGGTACTACTCGATTAATACAACGCCGGCCGAATCATTAATACGTCTACCACTCTTAATTCTATTGGTAAAATATTCGAATAATCATGTTTTATAATAGCGGATGCGATAAAATATATATATATATTTATCGTTTGTAGCTTTAGAAAAACCAGATCCAATTTATGTTAATGGCACACAGTGAAAGTCGATATAACGGATCCCTCGGGACAGTCATAAACAGCATGAGCGGCACCTTTTTAACTTTGTTTATTATTTTACCTTTTGTTTTCAGAGTCGGCAACTTGTTATCTCTTGGCATATAAAAAATAACCGAATAAAGAAAAATAGGACAGACACTAAATAAAAACATTTCCTTTCCCCTATGAACAAACATAGTCATCGGCGTCGAACCCGGCAATGACACCAGCCGTGCCAATAAAAAACAGCAGATAATCAAATCTTACGAAGACGGTACGATTTTTACCATTTAGGGAAAATAAGCGAATAAATTATTTTTATTATAAATAATCTCTCCACCGCAAACTCTTGAACCAACATCAGCTTATTGCCCTGGGTTCTCCTTCTACCAACGCTGATATAATGAACGAACGTAACAAAAATAATATCGGACTTTACAACGCCGCCGGTCAATTAGAGGGTTCCAATTTTAATCAAATGGCTATCAACACGCAAGCTCAACCTTATACCCGTAATCATGTTACCCATTTTCGTCCCAAAATAATAATGTCAACATGACACCTACGAATGTTGATTTTCCAGGCCAAATACCGCAAGGCCGCCCTTGCGCTCAAGGTTTTATTCTCACTCTACTTCTTTGAACACTACCGATTGCGAAAGCAATGGCTATCCCTCGCATGCTTATAATTATGTCAATCATGATAACCTTAACTCGACAAATGGCGGTATGGTCATATATTTTTGTGTATATATTTGCAACTCACATATAACGATTATATTTAACACATTGTTTACAGCGCATACACTGACACTAACGCAAAACTCCATTTTGATATGCTCAAGGTTTCATACCTCCTGCCTCTATAAATTCTACGGATTATGAGAGCGGATACAATCTCTCGGTTTCTTATAGCCATCCGTAGCATCGTAATTTTGGTATGTCTGTATAAATGTTTACAAGCCATATGTATATTAACACATTATTTGCAAGCTAGCACCTAAACGTGAACGCAAAAAAATTCCGTAGATCGACAAGTTAATTTGCAAAGTCAACCTTGTAATTATGTCGTACCTTCTGCCTCTATGGATAATGAAAGCACTGGATGTCGGAATTCCTCGCTTTCTTATATCCAGCCGGGTAACAACGTGACAAATAAACATTTGCATCCAGTGCATCACAATCCAGTCGATCCCCAATATTTTTTCACACACTTTATGATCCTTCCGATACAGTCCGACAACTAGTTACTCTCAACACTCATCTATTTCATATATACTTACGCAAGAGCCCGCAAGCCACGGATTTCTTGTTACGAAATTGGAGCAAACTCGATCCGTATTAGGCAGGGTATCTGTCACTGATATTGATAAAATGTTACGTACAGTATGTGAAAAAAAAATTATGTATTTATTTTTGTATATGATATAGACACACTTAAGGATAAGTTTTGGTTCATATTAATAGACCAATTTTGTTGTTCTTTTCTCTAGTAATAGCTGAATAAACTTCTACTACTGGCTAGAATAAGTTAGTATTAGCTTTCCGAACAGTGTAATGTCAGTATTTGTTTAATTTGTAGATGCGGTAACCCTTCTATTGTCAAACCCAAATTTTTATATTAAAATAAAGTGGAGCAATTCCGACCCGCAAGTACAATATAATGGCAACATTTTGTTCAAAAATGACGCGCTAGAGTTTTTTTATCTTTCACCTGCATTTCGTAGACCGGCTATGTGGTGGACTACTTACATGGGGCAGACGGCAACAAAACCAAACAAAGTGAACATTTGATCATGTGAGCCAAAATGTTACGGCAAGCCCGATCTTCTGACTCAGTAAAGCAAGTCACACTTCCTCTGCAGTCGGACAATCGATTTAATTTTAGAATAGTAACACTAGATTTCGCGAATTAGGAGATAATTTTAGTGTTTCAAAAAGTGGTGACGGGGCCGACAGTACGAGAGTTAATTAGAAAATAATTTTTATGTTTCAAAATTGTTGACAGTTACCGAAAACCTATATAAGCAACCACTATCCCATCGTCTAATTTTCATGTTGTTTACGTTGTATACGTTGTTCGATTGTTTCTAATATCCATGGATTTGATCCACAGAAATAAATATTTTGTTTTCTTTAAATTTTAAAATTTATTTATTTTATTTTTATTTATTTTTTCTATCGTTATCTTCGCTTGAATTTTTAACTATTTGATCCGGACAATACCTAGATAGCCTCAGGCTAATAAGGTTAAGTAGCGAGAGCTCACTTAGGCTTACGAAATTGTCCGCTGAGCGATTACCTAAATAACGGAAAGCGAGCTTAGTTAATTATTGTAGCGCGTCGATAACAAATTTTAATTGTTTAATTGTTTAATTAATTTAGGAAGCAAGTGACGGATAAACTGATTAGTCAATACACCGGATCAAAGATCGCCCTGTTTAAATTAGAATAATTAATTCCCCTTCGATTCCGTCGTAAATTATAGTTGTTAGTAATTTATTATTGACACCCTTATCCGGATACGAATACGGGAAGTACATCGTATAGGAGGTGAGAAAAAGTGCACAAAAATTAATTAAATTAGGTCACTTGTAAACGAAGCATTTAGTCGCAAAAGACATCACTGTAGTAAGGGCAGTGAACCCTGAGTCTAAAATTACCAAATCCCTGGTCGGTGAACACACCTACGTTAAAGATATAATTGACTCTCCCAACCAAACAATTGCCAACCATAACAAAAAGAGGCTGATGTGGCTGGAAAATGTACTAATTTAGCTAATGGCATTTTGGTTTGATTTATAGCTGTGGCTTCATGCGCAAATCTAGATTAATTTTTAGTAACTTTTTTAGACTTATTACAATGTGACTAAAACTCTTAGCTTTCAATATGAATCTAGAGCTAAATTAATGATCTATAATTACATTCGTATTATAAGCAAATATGGCTGGCATCCGGGCATAAAAGCAAGATGAATTAAATTCATCATTTACCAAAACAAATAACACTTGCTAAAATAAAAACATGTTATCAACCTACTCAAAAAGATTACATATGGTTTCTTCTAATCATGAGCAAAACATGCACACTACCACTATGCATAAAAGCTTCTATTTAATGAAGATGGTGTGTTATATTCATCTTCTAACAAGAATCTGCATGCAGAAAAAACTGCTAATCGCATTCCCATTTGCAGACATTTTCCTACAATGTTGCACAAATTGTTGCATATTTGTTCTCTGCTTGGATGCTTGCCAACAAGATCAACTGGCATGCAGTTTTACCATTGCATGCTTTTTCATATATTAATATCAGCAACCAACAAGTTGACCCAGGTAAGCTCTCTATACTAATACTAATACATTAATCTGTGCATATGTGCATGCATGCATCTGGGAATGTAGATGTAGATGTACAGAATATGTTGTGTACACAAATAATCATACACCCCTAACCCAGTAGTGTATGTTAAGAAGACCTTTTGATAAATATCTGCTTACAATAGTCTGTGTTATAATA